CCACCTCCCCCTACTGTTAGTCGAAGACGGGGGGTCACCGTTCGGGGCAGCAGTCGACCTTCCAGAAGTCAACTTGCCCCTCTGGATACGCTGCACTTGCTCCTGGGGCTCCTTCGCGCCCTTCTCCAACTTGGGCAACCTCAGGGAATGCCCCGCCCGAAGCGCGTTGATTTCACGGGTCGCCCTGATCGTGAATGCCTCCAGAGCCTCCGCCATGCCCTTTGGCAACTGCACAAGAAAGTGCTGCTCGCGTTTATCTGCCTCGAGCTCCCTCCTCTTGCGGCCTGCGTCTACCCCCGTTAGCGCTCGTTCTGACAATAAAGGGAACTAGAAGTAAGTTGTCGACAGCGCGGCCCAGACCTCGCAGAAAAGGTCTAACAATGACTCGAACCAGTACGGATTGAGCCAAAATGGCTACGGCTCAAGCCGTACTTCGCACATCGCTTCGCTCTTCCAAACGTGACCTCTCTACGCTGAGACAACATGTTTGACTGCATGCCTAACTTGGTGCGAGTAGTATACCAAGTGGGCACAAACAACGGCAAATGCGCGACAGCGAAGGTGCACCCTGCGCCGACGAAGAGCGACGAGAACATCAACAAAGAGGGTTGTTCAACAATACCTGTTGAAGCAATGTACTCTGCTGCCTGGGGGATCCAAACGAAACGCTTGGTGGATGCAATGAAGCTGACAACGTTTAGAGTCATTGCTACGATGATCAATGGCGCAAGTCACAGAGGAAGCATGTCAAGCCTGGCAGTTCCGTTAACCGCTGCGAAGGATGCGACCTCGGCATTGCGCCACAAGCGCTCGAAATATGTATGGCTCCACAGGACAATCATCCGATCCGACTTTGCAACACATTGGCAGTGACACCCTTAATGTGTAGGTCCTTGCGAGTCTGATGGGTGTATCCAGCCACATGGTTTGGACGGGAATTCGAACCAGATGACCACCAAACAAAACGACAACCAATACCAACCTTGGGACGCCCAAGAAGACCATGAACATACCTGCTTGCGCTCTCATTCCAACTGTGCCGTTGATGGTGACCATCATGCAAATTGCCACAATCCAAGCACCGACACTAGCAATGACAGCCGACTCGATGTTTAAGTATTAATACAATGCCAGAACCTGGAGTCCATGATCCGCTGCCCAAACGTGGCTCAGAAACGCTCCAACTCGATCTACTTGTTGACATGCGTAATATACCTGGTCAGCGGCTTCATGCGCATCGTTCTTTACATCGAAGAGATCAGCGGGCGATAATTGCGAAGTCGTTTTGGCTGCAGCCGTTTCGAACGCTGATCTACTGAACACTTCCCCGAAGCAACGTAGAACACGGGTGGGGTGGACAGCGCGGAACAAGTCGGGCTGATCTTTCAGAAAGGAACGCCTGCGCTCAGGCATGCCATCTTCTTCTACTTGGTCAACCGCTTCATGCGCATCGGCCTTTACATCGCAGAGAACAGCGGGTTTGTCCGCTCGAGCGCCGATCTACGGAACACTTCTCCGAAGCAACGTAGAGCACACTTGGGGTGGACAGCGCGGAACAAGTCGGGCTGATCTTTCAGAAAGGAACGCCTGCGTTCAGGCATGAGTAACACCTAAACAAGTTCAACCTTGCGAGTCAAGGGCATGAGCCAAAATGGCTTGAGCCAAAACGAATGCGGATCTTGCCCACACTTTGTCGTTCATGCTCGGACCCACTCGCCAATGCGCCTCATGTTCAGACCCGTCCTTTGAGCAACGCGGTGTGGCGCGCATGGCTCTTCTGCACCCCAGGGAGCCGCCGGGGGGTAGGCCCCTGGTCTGTTCGCGGCCAGGTTGTGGGGACGGCTCGAGCGAAGCGCTCGTTCGGCGTCGCTGGCACCTCTGCCTCAAAGCAATGATCACTGCGTCAGGTGTGTCTAGTGAGCACCCCAAAGGGGGGCCTCAAGGAGGGTAGGACACTTGCCCGCTCGCCTCTCGCGCGCAGGATGTGCGGATGTCTCGAGCGAGGCGCGCGTTTGGCGTCGCCGACGCGTCTGTTTTGAGAGCCTCGTGGTCACCGCGATGCAGCGGGCGTGGCACTTGGGCACCCCGCAGGGGGGAACCAACAACGGCAGAACACTCACCCGCTCGTACCCGCACCGTGGGGATGCCTCGAGCGAGGCGCTCTGTCTGGCATCGCCGACTCCTCTGCTCCGAGAGCCCCGCGGCCACCGCGGTGCAGCGGGCGCGGCACGTGGGCGCCCGAACGGGAGATGCTGGGGATTTTGCGCTTGCCCGTTCGCGCCCGGGCTGCGGGGATGTCTCGTGGGAGGCGCTCCTTGGGCGTCGCCAGCGCCTCCTGCCTTGAGGGCCGCGTGGTCACCGTGGCGAAGCAGGCGCAGCAGCTGGACGCACCGAAGACGAGGCGCCAAAGGCTCAGACGTCCGTTGGCGCCCAGATTATGGGGCTGCCTTGAAACTTGCGCACCCAGCTTATGGGGCTGCCCCGAGACTTGCCTAGTCTGCGGTAGTGCCTTTGTTGTGCACAGCGTTCCCGTGTGCACCATACCCCCCAACATCGAGCAGAGCCAGGTTCACGAACCATGCCGTCCCACCGTGCGGCACGCTTGCAGCTCTGTGTGTCGCAAGAGACAGGAGAGAGACAGAGAGAGATAGGCAGAGAGCGAGAGAGACATATATCTGCATGTACATGTACATCGAGAAAAAGGGAGAGAGTAATCCAGGTGTTGGAGCGCTCACCAATCATGAACAACAGGTGGCGTGGCTACGGTACCACGACGGCAGGAGGAGGAACTGGCTGTTCGTGGAAAGCTTCTCGGAAGGCCCCTGCGCGGTTGGTCGTGGGGATGCCTCGAGCACGGCGCCCCGTTGGGGGTCGCCGACGCCTCTGCCCCGGGTGCTCCGTGGCCAGCGTGATGCGTAGCAGCTGCGTGGCACGCTGGGCATCACCGGATGAGGAGCCGCCGTGGGGCCGGACGCCTGCCCGTTGGAAGCCACACGGCACGGATGCTGCGAGCGAGGCGCTCGCTTGGCAACGCCGCCACCTCGTTGCTCAGAGCCTCGTGATCACCGCGATGCAGCGTAGCATCCAGGGCACCCCACTTGCCATCGCTGAGACGTCCATTCCCAGTGCGTGTTTCGGTTTCGTGCGTGCTGGTTTCTGTGCCAGGTGATCCAAGATGCTCCCCGATGGTCCCCGCCGAGAAAAAGTGCACCCATCCGAGCGATACCAAGCCCAAGGAGGAGCCAAAAGTGATAGGACGCTTGTCCGTTCGCGCCCAGGCCGTGGGGATGTCTCGAGCGAGGCGCTCGCTGTGAGTCGCCGACGCCTCTGCTCTGAAAGCCACGTGATCACCGCGATGTGGCAGGCGCGGCACTTGGGCACCACACGGGGGAGCCGCCAGGGGGTGGGACACTTGCCCGCGCGGTGCGGATGTCTCGAGCGAGGCGCGCGTGTGGCATCGCCGACCCCTCTGCTTCGAGAGCCACGTGAGCACCACGGTGAACCAGGCGCGGCACCTGGGCACCCCAACGGGGGAGCCGACACGAGGGCAGGACGTCTACCCCCTCGCGCCCAGCCCGTGGGGATGCCTTGAGCCAGGCGCTTGCTTGGAGCCCCCGGCTCCTGCCACTGCCGCGCCTCATCACCAAATCAGTGCAACAAGGCATAGCCTCTGGGCGCGCGAAGGAGAGGCGGCCAGGGGGTCTCTGCACGTGCCAGGTCGCCGCCAGACTGTGGGGACGTGTCGGGCGAAACGCTGGTTTGGGCACCCCCGATTCCTCTCTACTCCGAGCCCTCGCGATCGCCGCGACGTAGTAGCCCGACTCCTCTCTATTCGGAGCCCTCGCGATCGCCGTGATGTAGAAGGCCGACTCCTCTCTACTCCGAGCCCTCGTGATCGCCGCGATGTAACAAGCGCGGCACTTGGGCACCCCAACGGGGGAGCCGCACGGGGGTCTTACACTTGCCTCTGGACCGTTCGCGGTCAGGTCGTGAGGGCGTCTCGAGCGAAACGCTGGTTTTGCCACCCCGGGCCCCTCTCCGTCCAGAGTCCCAAGGCCATCCTGGCAAGCGCAGTACTTGCGCACTGCCGGTAGAAGCCGAAATGGAACGCCCAGCCACCACAGGCTTAAGACCCTCTCTCGCTCAGACGCTCACGGCGGGAAGTGCCAGGAAATGGCATGCGTCTATGGGATCCCCACATCGGTGATGTACGCCGCAGTTCTGCTGTCATGCCGAAGGAGCGGAGGGAAACAAGACGATCCAAGCGGTGGTGTCCACAACCGTCGAGGAATCTGTCGTCCACAGAACCGTCGAGGAAGTTCTCGCCTGCAGATTACATCCTGAGAAAACAAGTGCCACTCTCACGACAAAGCTCTACTATGTCGTGGCGAAGCCCACAAAGCACCACCGACGAAGCAGACTCATTACCTCCACTCTCAATTGGACAAACAGGGAGCAGGGGAGGGAGGGAGCGAGAGATGAGGGAGGGGAGGTGAAGGGGGGAGAGGAGGAGAGATGAGAGAGAGGATGGACAGGCAAGGCGAAGGGAGAGATCGATAGAGAGAGAAGGAGAGAGAGAGAGAGAGAGAGAGCGAGAGGAATGGAAGGCAGAGAGGAAAGAGAGACGGAGGAAGTGAAGAAGCGGCGCCCAAGTATGTGTTGTTCCTCGCCTCCCCCCCATCCAGCATACCCACCTCTCTCCCTCTCTCTTCTCTTTATCTCGTTCTCTTTTGTTTGTTCTCTCTCTCTCTCTCTCTCTCTCTCTCTCTCTCTTTCTCTCTATATATATACATACATATATATATGTGTATATCTATGTATATGTAAAGTGTCCCGCGCCCTCTCCGTTCCTCCCCTCGCACATCCTGCCTCCGCCCTCCTGCCCTCGAAGAGAAGTTGGGAGGGGGGCGGAAGGTGCATCTCGAAGAGGCATATCCCCATCCTGCTCCTCCTGCTCCTCCTGCTCCTTCGTCTCGTCTTCCTCCGCCTGCGCGAGGGCGCCTACTGAAGGAGGCGCAACACCTCCGACGCCGCCTTCGAGCAGTCCTTGTCCTCCCCGTGCGGTAGGCAAGCGAGAAGCTATACTACATGTATATATATGTATATGTATATGCACATATATATATGTATATATGTACATAAATGTACATATCTACACATATATATATACACACTAGAACCATCGCGCGCGCTTCGCGCGCGCTCAAGTTCTAGCTAGGCTTGATGGGCGAACACATGGAATATCATCCTTGTCGCTTCTTGCGTCCAGGGACTCTTTTGGAGGTCCTGCGCGAGCCTCGGAATCGTATAGAAGGGGAACTGCGGCAACGAGGAAATCATAAGTTGCAGTCGGGTATTCAACGATTTGGGGCCCTCGAAGGCTTCCTGGGTTCTTGTCTGGGGCCTTAATTGTGGTCTGTCGTGCAAGAATCGACAGGTGGGCGAACTTGGGAAACAACGGAATGGTGGGATTTCCCTTTTGTTTCAAGTTGTAGTGCCTGGGCTGTGGGTTGAACGTTTTCTGCATGCAGGCCACGGTCTGTTGGGATGCCCCTCGGGGTCTTCGTGCAAAAAAAAAGCAGGGGGTGAGGTTGAAACAAACTAATTCTAAAATTCCACTGCTTCAACTCATGGGATCATGGGATCTCGATGTCTACAATGGTTTCAGGGGCAACCAAGAATTATTTTTTGCTTTAGGCGACTGCACAGCCAAGCTTCCGCAGAGATTGACAGGCAGGCAAGAAGAAAAGGACCCACCCCCAAGCGCAGACTACTTCGAGCCTAATTAGCGCCGCGAGTGCCAGTCGTTCAGTCAGCGCCGAGCTCCACTCAGCAAGGCGAGCACATCTGGCATCAGCGACACTGCGGTAGAGGCTCCCTCCTCCCGCAGTCGCAACGCCGCGCTGGCTACAGGTGTTACAAGCCAGGGGACACGAAGACGATCCAAGAGAGTGTCAAGACAGCGTCAGAGAGTTCAACAGCATTCCCGAAACATTATTGCATGCGCCCCCGAAGTCTTGATGGGGCTCGAGAAAGAGGATAGGGAGTAGGAATCCCAACTGGAAAAAAACGGGAATCATTGGAATTCCTCCTTTTTTTCTCTCTCAAATTCCTCGGTCTTGGAGCGTTGGAAGCGGGAAAACGTGAGAAGGCGAAAAACGTAGACAAAACCCACAGGGAAGCAAAGATCCTCTTCGGGCTCTCTCGGGACGGCTCTCGAAGCTCTCTTGGGCTGTTTGGGGGGCCTCGTTGGGAATTTTTGGGGAGCCTCTCAAGGGTCTGGGGTGCGTTGGAGGCCTCTGGGGGGTCCCGGAGTCCTCTCAAAGGTCTCTCTGGAGGCCTCCTGCTCCCGCTCTTGGGCTCACCGTGGGCCTGTTCTGGGGTGGTCTGGAGCTGTCCTGGGCGCCTCTTTGGCAGTCTTGGGGCCGTCTTGGCCCGTCCTGGGGCCGTCTTGGGGGCCTCTTGGGCGGTCTCGGGGCGGTCTTGGGGGCCTCTTCGGCCGTCTTGGAGCGTTGGAAGCATGAAGTGGCGAGAAGGCCAAAAACCCTGAACAAAAACAATGAAAATTAACGATTTGAGGTTCTCCGGGCGCTCTCGGAAGGCCTCTCGGAGCTCTCTTGAGGTCTTTTGGGGTGCCTCTCGGAACGTCTTGGGCTGATTTTGGAAGCCTTTTGGCGCCTCTGGGCGGCGTTTTGGCGCCTCCTGGGATATGTTGGGCCGGAAGCTCGGAATTCGAGAGTGGCTTTCTCCTTCTGGGACCCCTCTCGAAGTCGTCTTGGGGTTCTCTTGGGCCGTCTTGGGGCCGTCCTGAGCCACTCGTGCGCAGCCTTGGAGCGCTCCCGGAGGCCTCCTAGGCCGTCTTGGAGGCCTCTTGGGCCGTCTTGGACGCGGTGAAAGCCCAAGATGCGAACATGCGAAAAATATACGTTTTCCCATAGGAATGGCACGATGTTTGTTTCTTGGACCTCTCTTGGGGTGCCTCTCGGAACGTCTTGGGCTGATTGTCAGGGGGACATGCCAGGAAGACGCGCCGCGGAACGTCCCAAGGGACGCGCCAGGCGACGTGACACGGGACGTGCCATGGGGACGCACCGCGGGACGTGCCGAGGGGACGCGCTACGGAACGTGCCAATGGACGTGCCACGGGACGTGCCAGGGGACGCGCCGCGCGACGTGCCAGGGGGATTCGCCACGGGACGCGCCACGGAACGTGCCAAACAAGCGTTTCGCTCGAGACATCCTCAACACACGAAAGAGTGGCCCGCACCCTGTGATTTATCGATCGGGATTTCAAAAACAAGCGTTTCGCCTGAGACATCCTCAATTTCTTATCCGCCGGCCCACCTCGACCTCGATATTTATCAAGGAAAGAATCCGCCGGCCCACCTCAGTTGAGGCACCGGGGACAGGTTTACCAACTAAAAGAGAACCCTGGGCCGGCGCCCTTTCTGGGAAAAAAGGAATTGTGGACAGTTCTTTTTTCAAATTGCCGCGCCTGGGCTGTGAGTCAGAAGTCTCCTGGATGCATACCATGGTCTGTTGGGATGCCCCTCGGGGCCTTCTTGGCGGCGTCTCGGGAGATTTTTCTGGGCCTGTCTCCTGAGAGCCTCCCAGGAGTGTACGAAGGCCTCTGGGGGGGCGCCTCTAGAGCCTTTGGGAGAACCTTGGGGCCATCTTAGGGCAGAGCGCTCGAAAGGCTTGGGGAGGTCCCCTCCTGTGGCTCCCTCCTGGGGCGCGCGCTCAAGTTCTAGCCATGCTGGACAGGTTAGCTCATGGGATCTCGAGTTCTGGACGCCTTTTTCCCAAGAGGACACGAAGATGGCCCAAGAGAGTTCCAAGACAGCGTCAGAGAGTTCATCATAATTCCCGACAAATCTTCGAATTGTGACCCCGAAGTCTTGATGGGGCTCGGGGTGAAGTTCAACAAAACCTTCACTTTTTCAAGTCGGGCCTCCTACTATGTAGTGTGCAGGAATCGGGGGGCCTAAGAGGCCTGCAGGGGGTTCTTCGGAGGTAGTTGTGAGGCCTCTCCGGGGCTGGTTTGGGGGCCTCGTGGGTTTTTTCCTTGGTCCTTTCAGGGGTCTGGGGTTTGTTGGGGGCCTCTGGGGGATCCCAGAGGCCTCTCGGGGGCCTCTTGGGGCCTCCTGCTCCCGCTCTCGGGCCCATCTTGGGCATGTCCTGGGGCCCTCTTGGGCCGTCTTGGGCGCCCCTTGGGCAGTCTTGAGCTATCTGGGGCCGTCTTGGGCGCTCGTTGTGGGCCTCTTCGGCCGTCTCGGGGCGGTCTCGGGGGCTTCTTCGGCCGTCCAGGAGCGTGGAAGCTTGAAAACGCGAGAGGGTCAAACACATCGAAAAAACAAAGGACAATGAAACGATGTTACCCTCTTCGTCGAGCTCTCTCGGGACGGCTCTCGGAGCTCTCTTGGGCTAGCTTTCGCGCCTCGTGGGGCCTTTCTGGGTGACTCTATGGGTCTGGGGCTTGTTGGGGGCATTCTGGGGGATCCTGGAGGTTTCTCGGGGGCCTCTCTGGGCCGCCCTGGGACCCATTCTGAGCGGTCCTGGGGCGCTTGGGCCGTCTTGGGCGCCTCCTGGCGCAGCCTTGAGGCTCTCTGGGGCCGTCTTGAGGCTCCCTTTGGGGGCCTCTTTGGGGCCCCTCTTTGGCCTGTCCTGGGGCCCTCTCGAGCCGTCTTGGGCGCCTCCTGGCGCAGTCTCGAGGCTCGCTGGGGCCGTCTTGGGGCGCTCGTTTGGGGCCTCTTCGGCCGTCTCGGGGCGGTCTCGGAGCTTCTTCGGCCGTCAGGGAGCGTGGAAGCTCGGAAGCGCGAAAAGGCCACACCCTTCGGGAAAAAAACACTTAAACTCAGCGATGCTTATGTTTCTCAGCTCGACTGGGCGACGAATCACTGGAGAAGGTCCAGGATCTGCGTGCAGAAAGAGTGCTCCAAGCTTCACTTGGGGCACTCGTGAGCAGAGTGACGGCACCTCATAATCCCACCAGCCCTTTGGGCGTGAGTGGTTTAGAGAGCCCCCTCTGTCCTCAACCCCCCTTCTTCCCCTTCGGGGAGGGGTTTACCCCTCCCCCTGCCCCCTCCCCCTGAGCCTGGAGAGGGCGCCCCGCGGGTCGTCAGGGGGGTCAACTTCGACTCCTGGGAGGGCTAAAAAACGACTACCCTCACGAGGATTCTGGCCCCGACGGGGGGGGAGAAAAAACCCTCTCCTCTTCTTTGAAGCCAAAATCATTGATTTTACTACGGTTTCGGCCCCATGTTGGCCTTCTGAGGGGGCAGCGTTCCTCTTCCTTCATAGCAAAATCATTGATTTTACGAAGGTTTTGGGCTCATTTTGTCATTCTCAGAAGGCAGCGCTCATTTGCGCTTCTGAGGAGGTCGCAAGAGGCCCCAAGATGGCCCCAAGAGGCCCCCAGGAGGCTCCCAAGAGGCCTCCAAGAGGCCCTCAAGAGGCCCCCAAGAGGCCCCAAGAGGCCCCCAAGAGGCCCCCAAGAGGCCCCCAAGAGGCCCCAAGAGGCCTCAAGAGCCTCCAAGAGGCCCCCAAGAGGCCCCCAAGAGGCCCCCAAGAGGCCTCAAGAGCCTCCAAGAGGCCCCCAAGAGGCCCCACGAGGAGCCCGAACGACTCACACCAGGACGAGGGGCCCGAACGACTCGCACCACGAAGAGCCCGAACGACTCACACCATAAGGAGGGGCCCGAACGACTCACACCAGGACGAGGCGCCCGAACGACTCACACCACGAGGAGCCCGAACGACTCACACCACGACGCGGGCCCCGAACGACTCACACCACGAGGAGCCCGAACGAGTCACACCAGGAGGAGGGGCCCGAACGACTCACACCAGGATGAGGGGCCCGAACAACTCACACCACGAGAAGCCCGAACGACTCACACCAGGACGAAGAGCCCGAACGACTCACACCACGAAGAGCCCGAACGACTCACACCAGGAAGAAGGGCCCGAACGACTCACACCAGGACGAGAAACCCCAAACGACTCAAATCACGAGGAGCGCTTTCTCTCCCTCCTCCTCCGCCTCGTCCTTC